CCAGGTACTTTGAGGTGGCTTGGAACTCAAACACCAGGAGCTGGGGTCAGGTATGTGTGTGAGAGAGGGAAACGCCAAGGGCGACAAACTCTCCAAACCACACTCGGAGCCGTGACGCCTAATAACCCTAAACCCTGAATCCTAAACCCTAAGCCCTAAACCCTAATAATTAATTAGGCCCCTATCCCTAACCCCCCAAGTACCTGCTATATAGGGCCCTAGGGGCTCTAGTACCCTATATAGTAGGTAGCTGGGGGGTTAGGGTATATTACCTTGAATTGCAGACCAGGCGCAATGAGGGCCTGGTCTTTGGACTCGCTTCCGGGCCCCTGTCCGGCACCTCCCAGGGGGGGGCTCCGATCATCTTATCCAAACCCAGAGACTCCGTAAAGGCTTGAGGAAGGAATCTACCCTCAAAGTGTGGAGAATGACTGAGGGTATATTCCTTCATTACAGGGTTGTGGAATCCTGGGGGCAGCTTCACCCTTGAAGAATGTGAAAAGGCAAATTGATGCCTACAGGGCCTACAGGTTCAGGAGATTCCTGCGTGGACAGACTGGCATAGCCTGCATGAACTAATCTATGAAAAATCTTGTGATCATCATCACATCATCGTTTCATCGTTTGGCGGAAAGTTGATCCTGGCATCTTGGATTGATGAGGAGAGATTTTGTCATCATTTGCACATCTTTTCGAGTCGCTTGGCGGGTGAAGGGCCGGGGAAAGGAGCTCGCGGGAATCCTGAAAGTTTCGAACGCGGAGAGCCTCAGGACATGTTGCTCTTTCTGTTTGCCTTTGTTGAAACATTGTGCTCATCATTTGTTACATCGTTTGGCGGAGAAGGACCCGAGCCGTCCCAGAAATGACAAGAACATCATCAAAGTCGTGAGGCAGGGGATGGTTTGATGATGATTCTGGCCATGTTTTGATGATGACATAAAGGAAGATACAGGAAAGTTGACTTATTTGGCGAAATCCAGCCTGTGGCTGGCTGCGGCTAAGAACCTTCTAACTATAAGCCATCTTAAACATATTGCAAGGGTTCGGTGTGCACGTTGTCACTGATGAATCCCCAGGCTCTGAAATCAATCAGTTCGTCGCACTACAGGAGCGCAGAGTCCCATAGACAGTAGCATCATCACAAGCAGCATCTGCATAGCGAGGCGTGTGTCTGACACATGACTTGGCTGCTGTACTAACTGTACTATCCGTCCTTCGCAACTTCAAGTATGCACAGATGGCACCAGCTGGCACAAAAGCACTATCAACAAGCCCTGAACCCCAATAAGCCAGTTGGAGCTCTTCGTCAGGCCTCCTTCCGGAACAAGGGCCTCAGAAATGAAGCTGTGCCAGAATCGGGTGCACTAAAAGATCCTTACTTTTTGGGAACCTCAAAACTTCCTGGCTCTGAAACCCCGCTCTCCGAAGGAGAATTCCTACTTAGGACCTCCAAGCCAGGGTTTCGTTCCCAAGGTTTCAGGGGGCATTTTATGGGCCTAATCGGCTATGCCTCAAGGTTCTCGGCTCTGCAATTCGAAGGCATCCTATACCCTAAACCCTAAACTTTTAAACCCCTGAACTCGGTGTCTGAACCCTTAAATCCCGAAGCACTTGAGCCTGGACGGACTGCCCAAGGCCCCAAACACACAAGCGCATGAACCCCCCAAATCTGCTCACTTCCTCAGCTCCTAAGCCTCTGAACTCCCAAATCCCTGAGCCCCCTAAACCTTTGAACCCTAAACCCAAATCAAAGAGCGAAGCCACAGGAGTGAGTTTTTTGCATTTCGTTCTCGTGGCCATAGTACGAGGCTGTGAAGAGATGGTTTTTTTTTGCTTCCCTTCGAGATTCGACCGTGGGGTTGTTCTGCTCTATGGCACAGTTCGGCGCGCAGTGTTAGAATCCTCCCCATACCCTAGCCTGAACAATTCATTGGTATAGTTCTTTGGTAGGATAGCCATAGTGGCAGCGCTAGCGTTAGCAGTAGTGGAGTAGTGGTAGCGGTAGTGGTAGTAGCAGTTGTGACTGGTCGTGCTGGCGGCGGCCATTGTTTCAGTTGTTGGTTGATGGTTCTTGGTTGTTGACTGTTGGCTGTTGGTTCTTGGCTGTTGGCTCTTGGTTGGTTCTGAAATGGATGGTTGTTGGTTCTTGGTTCTTGGTGGTTGGATCTTCTTGCTTGGTTGTTGCTTGGTCGTTCTTGGTGCTTGGCTCTTGTTTGTTGGCTATTTGTTGTTTGTTCTTACCGGTTGGTGCTTGGATGTTGGCCTTTTGTTGTGGTTGTTGGTGTCGCTGCTGATAAATGTTGTGGATGCTGTTGTTGTTGTTGCTGTGGCTGTTGTTGGTGTTGCTGTGTTTGCTGTTGCTGCTGCTGTTGTTGCCAGTGTTAATGCCGTTGTCGCTGTCGTTGTCGTAGTCGTGGTTGTTGGCCTTGTCCTTGTCGTCGTCGCCATTGTCGTTGTGGTTGTGGTGGTTGCTGTTGTTGGTTTTGGTGTTGGTGTTGGTGTTGGTGTTGTTGTTGTTGTTGGTGGTGGTGGTGGTGTTGTTGTTGTTGTTGCTGTTGTTGTTGTTGGTGGTGGTGGTCGTTGTCGTCGCCGTTGTTGTTGGGCTGTTGTTGTTGTTGCTGTTGTTGTTGTTGTTGCTGGTGTTGTTGTTGTTGTTGCTGCTGCTGCTGCTGCTGCTGCCACAGTTACCGCTGATGTTGCGGTTGCTGCAAGTCTTGTTGTTCCTGTTGTTCTGGGTGAGTCCATAAAACCGTAAACTTATGCAAACTTTTTTGTCTTGACCGCCTACCAGGTTGCAACGAAGCCTCACCGTATCTCACAATGCCCGCAGGCACACAGCCATCAACCATTAACAAGCCTGTAGCGACTCGGTTGCTCATGTCAGCAACGCAGAAAACAAGAGCACACAGCAAGCGAAACAAAGTCAAACAAGGTGCGGCGATGCGCGGCGACAGGTTCTCTGGACATGACAACAGTGAGATTGGATTCCCTAGGTGCTGGCACGTGAAGCTGTTGTTCATAGTAGTTGTTGTTAGTGTTGTTGTTGGTGGTGGTGCTGACGGCGGCGGCGGCGGCGGTGGTGCTGGTGCTGGTGCTGGTGCTGGTGCTGGTCGAACTTTCCTTACTCTTTCTTCTCTCTTTTTACACACTTTGCAAGGGTCCGTGCAAGGCCCGGAGCACAGGACACTCTAAGGCTCTTGGGGGATTTGAAGCCGAAAACGTTGCACGGAAAGCCACGTCAGTTGGTGCTGGTGCTGTTGCTGTTGCTGTTGCTGTTGCTGTTGCTGTCGCTGTCGCTGTCGCTGTCGCTGTTGCTGTTGCTGTTGCTGTTGCGCTTCTTCTTCTTCTTGTTGTTGTTGTTGCTGTTGCTGCTGCTGTTGTCGTCGTCGTCGTCGTCGTCGCGGTCGCTGTCGTTGTCGCTGTCGTCGTTGTCGTCGT